TTATCTCAATTTATCATGAAAAATATATGAAAAATAAATAAAATAAAGATTGAGAATTCTAATTTTAAAATTTTAAAAAGAATTCTACTGATATGATAAAGAGTGAGACTCACAATATAATGTAGTGTATTTACCTATATTGGGGAGGTGTTATGGGTAATCATATGCTTGCACCATGGACAAGAGTCCGACCGACATACGGCCAAAAGAAACAATCAATATTTATCTTCACGACATTTTAGGCAAGGTTTCACAGCAGTTGGCATGACATTAACATTTTAGGCAAGGTTTCACAGCAGTTGGCATGACATAAATAATGCTCTCTCACCGTACCTGTACACACACATCCCAGCAACAGGCAGCCAACAATCTCATATATTTGTAAGAGCAAAATAGAAAGAGAGAAAAAGTAAAGCCATCGGGTCATTTCTATACGGACAAAAATTACTGTAGGAAACACAATTTACGAGTTATTGTTCTTATCAATCTTCATACAGCATCAAGGAATTACACAAATATTCAGTGAGGAAAACAAAGTAATGTTTGTTAGAAATGGTTTTGAAAAATATAATTTTTCTTTAACTTTGGTCTATTTTTAAGATAGGATCCATACACTAAAGTTGGCGAGTCTAAGTGGTAACGCATTTTATGCCGCGTTGTGATTCACGTGATATATTTGGTTGCTAAAAACCATTATCGGGTGAATCGGAAATTAAAACCAAAGTAAACTCCATGGAAATAGAGTTTTTGTGGAAAATCTTTAAAGGTTTGAATAAAGGCTTGTCTCCGGTTTGGTGGGAAGAATTTTGTGGGTATATAAGGCATGAGTTTGCAACTTAAGGTAGGCCCTAAGGGGCACCCAAGTTTTGTAGAGAGGGAGGTTATGGGCAAAGTGGGTTAGACCCATTGGACCCAAAAATAAATACTCGTACGCCCGCCGCCGCCTTCGTCCGTCCGGTCGGGTTTGGGCGCTGGTGTGAGGTTGGGTTGGGCTTGTCTGGCCCAATACCTATCTTTTGAGCCAAAAACATTTGAATTTAATTTTATTTTTTAGTAAAATAAAATTTCTGTCCATAATTCAAATTAATTCCAGAAAAAAAAAATCTGTCTGGTTTTTCCCTTTCTACACCTAAACAGGTCCATATATGTTTAAAGAAACTGAACATATTCAAATATCTATTCAAATTCAAACCCAAACAGTGCCATATCTGTTCATTCAAACCAAACAGATCTGCTACCTATTCAAACATGTTTATTACCTGTCTAATTCAAACTGAAAAGTCACCTTTACACCTATAAATAGACAAATCTCTCATTTAATTCTTTCACTCAATTTTCGTCCTAAAAATTCTGTATTACTCTCTACATTTTACTACTTTATTTTTGTAATAACCCTCATCACTGTTTACCGATTAACCACTGATTACTGCTAAACTGAGACTGATTATGATTGGTAACTGAATTGATTGAAGTACTGAACTGACTGACTGAAATCTGGAACTGAATTGATTAAGTATATCTGTTTAATTATATGTCTATCTGTTAACTGTTTGATTATCTGTTCATGCCTTTGTGTTTAAATTGCGAATTGAAGGCCTTATCGGCGGCCGAATCTGAAATTAATTGATGTTCTGTGTTAATTAGATTTTATATGATTTTATGGTATATTTATCTAAAATGTGATTGGTATGATTAAATTGGATTAATGGTAAAGAATTATAAGAATTGGACTTATTACTTAAATACCATCTAGTGGGGCCATTAATATGTTGAGCCTTACTACACTTAGACACACATTTGTTCAGCCAGATTTGAGAAGCAAACCGACTAGAGAAAGAGAATAGGGAATTAGAGTGTTTTCATCTTGAATTTGCTTGGAAATTGAGAAGATTGGAAGAGTTTGTGATCAATTGAGCTTCTAGACTTGTATTTGAGGACCTAGGTAAGGAATTTACCCTCTTAATTGTGTCTTTAAGTTGATTATTGCATGATTCATGTCATATTGAAGAGCTAAGTCATGAATTGGTTCTAGCATGTTGAATTGTAGCTCTAATCTTGCATGCATGTATACATTGAAGAGTTTTGAGTTTGATTTCATGGAAATCTTGCATGCATGCTCATATTTATGTTTAAGTCCATGAATTCAACTTGGTTTTTGGAAGAATTGGCTCATTAGAGCAAGTATTTGAAGCTTGGAAATTGATTAAACTCATGCATGTCATGTTTGAGTTATGTTCTTGAGTTTTGGTTTGAAAATCTTGTTGTTTGAAACACCCTTGGGTTTTGATTTTACAATTGAGCTTTGGAATCATGTTAAACTATGAGTTTTGGGATGTTTTCTGGAAAATTGGCCCAAGAGGATCGAAATTTATGTTTTAAAACTTGGTTTTGAGCTTGAGGTTCAAATCTTGAATTTCCAGAATTTGGACTCACGCTCGAGCGAGGTGACTGGCGCTTGAGCGTGAAATTCGTGCTCCTAGTACTTTGCACTGTTTTGATGTCCGCTCGAGTGGAATAATTGACGCTCAAGCGGGACATTGTGTCTCATGCTCGAGCGGGTGTCGAGCGCCCAATCGAGCGTGATTTTCACCTATCCGCACTTTTGACTGTTTTGCAGAACGCTCGAGCGAGTAATTCTATGCTTGAGCGGAAACCTTTGTCTGCATGTCCGCTCGAGCGGAGTAACCTACGCTCGAGCGTGACCCCTGTTTTTTGAAAATTCTGAAAACACTTTTACAGTGTATCTTTACATCCTCATCTCATCCTAGCCATTATTAGGCCTAGTTTAAGGCATCTTAACGAGGATATAGATGTAGAACACACCGAGGCAAATTAGGGATTAAGTTATTATCTTTCCCAACTGTGTAGCTTAGTGTGTGTTCAATCTGTAACTATGTAGGGTTTGTGACTGGGGACGCACTCTAGCTTTACTGTAGCCCAGAACTTTGTGAGTAACAACTGTGTAAAGATATGTTCAAGATTATTATCTTCTGAACAATTGAACTGTACTGCTTTCTGAACTGATACTGTTAATCGAATGAATGTATGTCCTATATTCTAAACTGTATTGTGGCATCCTTAGCAACTACTGTTTACTGTTACTGTTACAGAGATCTCTGCCGGTTCCCTTGTTGAAGCCACTACTGTTACTGATTGATGGCCATCATTTACTGTTCGGTCTTTTAAGACCTATTGTTTACTGTACTGTTATGCTAATGGATGTACCACATATGACTGAATGACTGATATACTGAATTAATGAACTGTTTTCATTATTGTAAGGACATTCATTCTTAACCTCTTTACGCATTACGTTATTCACTGGGCTTTAGCTCACTGCTCATATATATATATGTAGGTGTACAGGCACCAGATCGTGGCTAGAAGCGTCAGGGTAAACTCCAGTTTTGTCGAGCCAACCTATGTGCCTCACTACGAGGTTCCGAGCCTGTCAAGTTATGGCTTAGGGGTGTCTTAGTTCCCCCTTCTGTTTCTGTAACCATTTTGTTTACTGTACTGTACTGTTTAATAGGGATTAGGTCCCTGTACTGAATGATTGTATATATGTACATACTGTTCTGTACTACTCATGTATATGTGTGTGAAAAGTCTTTTTGGCATACAAACTGTCACAACTCATTGGACATTGTTTATTTACTGTATTGGCTTCCGCCAGGCCCCTGTACTCTGTTTTACTGTATTATTTTTAAGCAGGCCTTTGGTAATCTTGGATTACTAGCCAGTTACGGTGCTAAACCCATAGGGGCGGGTTTGGGTCGTGACAATTTTCTTGTGAGAAACTGTATAAACACATAATGTGTTCGTTGTGCAAACAATTTGTAGTATTGCTACTATTTGTTGTTAATCATTTTATCCTAGGAGATAGACGTCTACATTCTGAAAGCACCGTGGAGAGGACAAATCTGTTTTAAGGACAAAATGTTAAACACTCGACCTGATCAGAAAATTTGTTCAACAAATTAATTTGGTAAGTAATTAATTTACTTTTCTGTTTTATTTTTTTTCCTATTTTAGATTTAGATTTTGATTTTGTTTTTATAACAAAATAAAAATCTGTTTTATTTATTTTATTTTATTTTCTGGTTTGATTTTTGTAATCAAACAAACTCTCTCATTTCCTTTATTTCTTCTATATTCCATTTGTTGTTAAGTACACAAACAAAATTTATTTTTTAAATACAGTGAAAATTGTTCAAGAATGTTTAAAACAAAAACTATTCCCTAGTTAATGTTTGTGTCGTTGCTCAGAAGATTACATAAAAAGTGGATAACATACTCCTTGCAACTTCCTCACTCCAACTAAAATTAAAAAGGCTTAGACAAACATAATAGCAAGACCACTTCTAGAATTGTGAAAACACTAGGAGGCCACAAGAAGATTTTGGCATCAACATTTTCACAATGTTGGAAACTTTTCAAAGAAAACCTAAGTTTAATACTAATCAAAGAAAGTAAATTTAAAGTCAGAAAACCGACTGAACTTTAACTGATTAATATAATATATGAGCCAAGAAAAACCAACAAGATCAATCAAAGTTTGAGTTTTTTCCTGTTTTCAATGCTTGGATTGAGAAATTAGTTCCAAATGTACCCTCAGTTTTCTGTATGACAAAGTTTGGTCTGAGTAGGCCCACCTAAAATCAATTTGAGCTAAGCTAGTAACTATACATTTCTTTTTCACACTATTCTTTCTATTAATCTGATTTCTAAAAATGGGTCAATAGGTTTGCTCATACTCCAGCAACTAACAAATCTGGACTCATAAAATTTGCCAAAAAATTATTCATATGTTCCTCTTTACTTCATGTTTGGTAACTTTTTGTTTCTAGTCACAACAATGACAATCACTCAAGATACATACTCGAACACAAAATATGATGTCAGTATCAAGGTTAAACTCCAATAGAAATACACTTCCAAACAGCTGCTTCTTGAAAGGACTTCCAAAATTTCAAACTTCGTATGAACCCCATTTCATGATAGAAAAGAAGTCAATGGCATGTTTACAATAGATTCACAATGCATCAGAAGATAACTAATGCAAAAATATTAAGCATATCTGGGCAGTAGAATTATCGAACCAAAGCAAGTCATGAAACACGCCAAAGATCAAACAGAAGAAGCTTACAAGGTATAGAGCAGAGAAGGATGCAATTGTTACAAGGATCAATGGCCAAAATCCAAAGAAGAAAGTTCCACCAATGGATAGTAAAAGTTTAGCCCGTGGAATCAAACCCTGAAATAAAAAAAAAACAGAAGAAAATTGAAGTCTTCTTCCTTACATGCATGCATAAATGTTAAATGCATTCACACACGTGCGGAAAAAGAAAAGTCCCAAAACAAAAAAGAAATCCTTTCCAATAAGCAAAACGTATTCAATAAAACTCACGCTGTGCACCGCAACAATTATCCAATATTTTACTTTAATTTGTTGCATAGAGGAATTCCAAATAAAATTTTAGAATTAATTTACTGTTGCAAAACATATGCATTGCCAAAAAGTAAAAGTCATTGCATGATAAATTACATCAAATTCCTATACTCAAGCAGTACATTGAGTACCACCTGGAGTGCCGAAGCTCCACATATTCTAATAATTAACAAGTCAAACCGATACCATGCTCAAATACAGAAGATAATAAATCTAATAAATTAAACCTTCTATGCGAGTAATTATCACCTCTGATACAATTGCAGAAATATGAAACAGGTGAATTTCATCAAATTTATGTAATCATTGTCAGTGATAGGATCTAAGAATCATCTTTGTTGGCTTGCACTAGATGATAATAAAGCACGGGCCCTGCTGGAGACCCCCAGCAGGGGAGACCCCCAGCAACCCCCACCTCCACGTGGGGGGCTAGTAATGGCTGAAATCAAAAAAAAAAAAAAAATAAAAAAAAAAAAAAAAAAAAAAAAAACAGTTTTTGGGCCAATAGGAAGAGACCCCCAGTACCCCCACTGGGGGTCTCATGCATTTTCCATAAAGCACTATTTTTTTAAACAAAAAAGCTATACTGAACTCATAACAAATGGACCTTAACAACTAATTTTATTCACATTAAAAGAGAATGATAAATGATCACAATCCATAATATAAGCTTATTCAAGCATACATATGCCTTTGAATACTCCATAGGCCTGGTGACTTTGATGCATAATGACATTGAGGTAATTTTGATTATTATATCAAAGCAACCCTTATAGAGTCATCATTCTCTTTCACATAATTACTTCAATTAGGTTCACTTGGGCAGCATTCCAAGAATTTTGTCTTCATATTTCAGAAGCTTCCTTAGTTTCCTCTGTCTTCACCTTTAGTTTATATGAGTTCATACTGATTTGTGCTGGGTATATTGTTTTTGTGTCAACTTCTTGGCATTAGATGCATTTGGTTCAACCCTTTAGATGAGCATATTAACAATCAGATTACTAGTATCGTATCATGAATAGCAGATGAGTATATCTGTATTTATATGCATCGATAACTTATATGATAGCATATAAAGGCATTGAAGTTTTAAAGGATATTTATTTAAAAAGAAAAAATATGACTACTAGAAGAAAAATAAATATTGTAATGCATTTTTATCAAGGGCCAACCAAAAAAATGGAAGCAAATTTATCACTATAAATGATTTTACAAAGCAATGAGATAATAGATGCAAATAAGGGATGTAGAACATTGAGCTAAACAACTGAGTGAACAATAAAGAAAAAAAAAATGCCAACGTCAAGTCCTTCACTGTTCAGTGCCACAGAACGTTCCCTTTGATTAGATAAGCTTTTCTCATAATCTGTTGACACTGCATTTCTTTTGGAGGACCCTCCCTCTTCTTCCATAAATTTTATCTCCTCATCGCCATAGATACTACTATTGCTTTCCTCAAGCAATGAAGTGAGATTCATACCCCGTTTCTTTAATTCTTTCAAAAACAATGACTCAGTAGGTTCTTCACCTGAAAAGCAAAGGAAATATAGGACTACCTTATTGTTTTTTTTTTTCTTCTTATCATTATTTATTTTAATCTTTTTTTAGAACCAAGAAAGATGGCCACATGTGTTTGAAAACCCATTAAAAACTCTAGGTAAACATACAAGGATATGAGCGGCAATACAAATTGATACTTCAGTAAAAGCTAAATAGATCCCATGACAGTACCACTAGTGAAGTCACAATACAAGATACACAAAGTTGTCCACCACCAATTCAATATCAGACTAAGAAAAATGATATATAAGCCGTCTTTTTAGACCTATTTTTAAGACCTAGTGACATGTAACATATTCTTGGAACATTCCTTGGAAGATTCTTTTACAAGTTGGAATGTTTGGAAAACAATTTTATTGATTTGGGAACGATTTTGATCTAAATCATCAAATTAATTCAACACACAAGTTGGAATGTTTGGAAAACACAACTTCGTTGATTTTGCAAATTACTTTTGAATCATCATACTAATTCAATCTTGAACTACAGATTCAACTTTCAATTGGTCAAAAAAAAGTAAAAATCAACGATGTTAACATGCCCAGGGGGTCAGTAGTAGTTAACAGATGTTAACACGAAAAGAAATAGTTTTGAACACATTGACAGAAGTATAGCCTCCTTCATCAATATTTAAGCTTACTTTTTACTATTGTGGGTTGTTGTTGTTTTCCTTCTCCATTGCTGCAGATTTGTTGTACTCTTCTAATTCCATCTTGGTTCCTGCAGCTTTTTCATTCCAGGTTTGCTTATCTTCTTCACTCGATTCCTACAAGTACAAAACCAAAATTTTTAGTACTTCTTTTTACATTTTCAAAAAAAGAATTACCCAAACAAACAGTTAAATTTCACACCTTCCATTTCACTGAAATGAGGTCATTAAAGGCAGAGTTATTAATTCCCGGCCTCTCTTCCAACAAGTTCTTCATTGCCTCTTTGTTGTATTATCAACAAAAATAACATAGTATAAGAAAATATAAAGCAAATTTCATTACATTTTGTTACTGTTAATGTCTGCTAATTCTTTGATTCACCTCCATATGGCTAATCCGCGACTACTAGCAATTCCATCATCATTGTGAATAAAAATAAAATGACCAAAATTTTAGGTATTTATTTTTAATCTTGTTAGGTATATATATAGGTGCTTATAAAAATATTTTAAAATGACTGACCTGAATAGAAGGAATGAGGATGTGGGCTTCTTCAGTTTGTTGGGATCAGAAATATTCTTCTTCTTCTGGTGATTCCCTTTCATTTTCTGTAACGAGCGCATACATAATTTAGCGGTCACAAAAGCCAAGCCTCACAAGAAGGTATCAACAATTCATTGTTATAAGGCCAAACCTTGATTATGTTATCGGTTTTCTCTTACTTCTGGAGCAATTGCAAGGCTTCTTACTTTTGAATTTTCATCATCTCATCCTCTTCTTTTTTGAGATTGGCAGACTCTTCCTCCTTCCTCTGCTTGTAAGCCTCCATTTCTTCCAAATACTTTTCTTTATTTTGCTTTGCAATCTGCAAGTTCCCAAAATATGAAATTGTTGTTGTAGAGAGAGAGAGAGAAAGACAGAGTTAATTGAACCTTTTCATAAGGCTTCTCCTGTTTCTGTCATGTTCTTTCATTCTTCACCTGTGATCTTCGCAACCTGTCTAACAATGCCAATTTTAGAAATTAGCATATGATCAATAACAAGAATTCAAGAAACTAAAAGTGAGGCCTCTTCAATTACCTCCCAGACACTCTTGCTCTCTGCAAGCAGAGCTGCTCTTCGCTCATTTGTGAACATGAAAAATGCAGACATTGTGATGTAGTGTCATGTGCATAGCATATGTTAGATAATGTATCCTATAAATAGATGAGTATCACATCATTTGTAACTAACTTGGATATATTGAAATTGAATGGAATAGAGAATTTCTTTCTCTAATATCTCTCTCTAAGTTCCTCTCTCTCTAATTCCTGATTGACCCATCAGATTTTTGTAGTAGAGCCTCAAGAACCTACCTGCATCTCGCATTACTGGAAGGAACTTAGCAACTGATCTAGGTTCATAATCGTCTGGATATTCGCAACCTGGTTCAGATTTCAGATTCGAGATTGCGGCCTAGCCCTAGATTTGATTTCGCTAATTGGTTGTTGATTGTGAGTGATTCTTGGTCTCGTGAACTTGATTATGAGTTGAATCTTGATTTCACAACTCCAATTGTTCGTGGTTACTCTGGATTTCGTAGATTCTAAATCAAATTCAGTTTCAATTGATGTTGAGATTCGCAAAGTTTCCTTTTGATTTGCTATTGAATTTGATCGCTCAACTTCACTGTTGTTCTGATTTCATCAATCGAAATCACGATTTGAAACTGAGTTCGCAACTCAATGGATGATCACCATCTGACTTGCGTACTTGGATCGAAGTCTGTATTCTCGAATACCCATCGTGACCTGGGCTGTCCTTTGAAGTTATTCTGGACTCAATTGACTGAAATCAACATGTGGGTAGGTGATTCTTGAAGTCTTTAATCTATCTGTGTTGAATTTCCTATGTTATATCGATTCTTGAATTCTTTAAATCTGTGTGTATCAATCTGAGTTCAATTCTTGTCTTCAACATTTTGGGTCTTGTCTCTGTTGTGACATTATCTGATCATTGTGCTGAGATTGTATATTGGTGCACCATTTTATCAATATTCAACGAAGTGAGATTACTGTGTCTCTGTATATTCTTGAGAATTGTTCAATGGTTTAATGAGGTCGAGGTCATAGGGGTGGTCGTGATAGGGCTTATGTCCTGGATTTAGATAATATGATGAAGGTAATGGAATTTCGTATCCAAGAGATGAGATGACAAATTGCCGCATTAACCGAGACAGTGCAACGTCTCCTACCTCCTACTAAGGGTAGTGATGGTTTCGATGAAACCGAATATGGTACTCACTATTCTTTTGATAATATCTTTTGGGCCCCACGACAGCGTCGAATGGATGTGGGTAGGATGGAACACAAATGGGAGAACAATATCAAGATTGAACTTCCCGAATTTCATGAAAGCCTCAATCCCAATAAGTTCATCGATTGGCTTAACACCATTGAGCGAATCTTTGACTATGGAGAGGTCTCCATTGAAAAGAAAGTTAAGCTTGTGGCTATTCGGTTGAAGGGAGCTTCTGCTTGGTGGGAACAACTTCAACTCAACCGTCACCGATGTGGAAAGAAGAAAATCCATGATTAGGAGAAAATGAAAAAGAAGTTAAAGGGCCATTTTCTACCATTCAACTACCTCCGAAGTGTTTATCAACGCCTTCATGTTCTCAAGCAAGATGGTACTGTGAATGAATACACGGAAGCCTTTTATCACCTCATTGCACCGGTTGACTTAAGTGAAAGTGAGGAGCAACGGGTGGCCTGCTATGTGAGCGGCTTGATATCTCTTATCCAAGATGCTCTTGCCTTGCACACATTATTTAGTGTTTCCGACGCTTATAATCGGGCCTTAGCTGTCACGACCCGAACCTGCCCCTAAAAGTCTAGGTCATGACCAGCCTATATTCAGGCCTCAAAACGAAAATTTTATAATGTTCAAATTATATTGGGGCGGAAACAAAGTTAATGATAATGTCCATTGAGCTTGGGCATACATAATATCTGAAATAGTTGAAACAATATACACACTAATATACATATACATACATATATATATATATATATATCACGCACATAAACATAAACTTAAGTAACTACAAACTTCTAACAATACAAGGTTAAAGCCTCAACGCAGAGGCGTATCTTGGGTGGCTTGACTTAGCAAGTTCACAAAAGAACTCTTGAGGCTGACCTAAGGATAGGCTCCGGTTTGATCACCTACATACAAATAAAATACGGAGTGAGCGAAGCTCAATGAGTTATAATAAAGTGAAGTGAATCAAGTAAATAATCTAGGTTCAAAAGAAGAATAATACAAGACTATTTCACATTTACATCACTCATAACATTACTCATAATCATATTTACCAAACGGCCTCAAGTCCATTCATATATCATAATGGCCTCGAGCCCAATCATACAGCAGAACGACCTCGACCCCAAATCATATAGCAGAATGGCCTCAGGCCCAATCATATAGCAGAACGGCCTCGGGCCCAACATATCAACAGCTGTTCGGAACATTAGAGGGTAGATGGAACATCGACCTATCTCCACCTCCCTTGGCTTTGGGCCATGAGTCATAGACAATTCATATCATTATAGGGTAGATGGAACGTTGACATGTCTCCATCTCCCTCGGCCTTGGGCCACGAGTCATAAATAATCCATATCATAACGGCCTCAGGCCCATCATTAGTAATAGAACAAGACGACGTTAGGTCTATGATAATGCCAATGTTCAATCCTTCCCATCAACACTTAATTCATATGATGTACTCCATTGCAATAAACACAATTTGTATCCAACATACATGCATGAATCCTAGTACGATTCATTTCACATATACCATTCACAATTATAATATATAAACCATAGCCCAATGGTTCCAACGTGCCAAGTGTAATCAGGGTATAATAATTCGTAAGCAGAAATACAGGAACAAATATAATTCATTACACTATTATTACTCACGGTGCTTTGATCGCGTGGAAGTATCCTCCGGTAAGTGACCTACAAGGCATACACACACAACTTATAAATTATTCACTTTTTACTTAGTCTTTTCTTCTTCACTTATCGTTCGATTCGTTAAGTTCCGCTCAATTATAAACATTGTAGAAGAACCAAATGGACATTTTAATACATTCAAAGGGTCGAGAAGGGTAAAAGAAACCAACAGAATTTTCCCTCTTCAGCTGCACGTGCGGAAGTCCTTCATCGCATGTGCGGGAAGGTGTGCCGCACGTGCGGCCCGCACGTGTCTTTATTTCAGTATGCAATCTTTGGCCTCC